AACGCGTGGGGGGTGGGGGGATTATGTTTGCCCCAGCTTTGTCATTCTTTGAGATTCCAGCTGAATTGTAGGAATAAGCTGGAAGGGAAATGTACAGTGCATTTTGTGATAAGAACAAATAAAATGGAATATGATTGTGGGATCTAAAAGTTTTGACAACTCCAGACTCTCTGTTTTTATTTTGTTGAGAGAGCTTTGAGATTCAAATTTTCAGAAGACAGAAGGAATAGTAGACATTCTCATTTTGCAAGGACTTTTTGATATGATGTTTGAGATTTCCCATAGGCCCAAGCCCTTGTATTTAAGTACTTCTCCCTATATTGGGAGAGTATTTTTTATTAAGTATAGTCGTTAAACACTAAATACTTAAAATACAATAGCAGCGGACGTACATTTTAAATAGTTAAAATTTATGAATTGGAGCTTAAAGCGGATTGTGGGGGGAAAGGATGATAGACCCGATTAAGATCCCATGGTTCATTCGTCCTGGGTCATCGTGGTCCTTCGTTTATTTAGTCAGAAGAGATAATAGACACGACTCGACTGAATGATTATTGTTAGCAACCATGGGTTGTGTCGTCCAAGGGAGCTTTGTAGATTGGGTTAAATGTTTATCTAATGGTACAAATTTTAGGCGACCTTAGCATATAGATGTTTTTGTGCTAATCAATTGTACTTTTTTGATTCATAACACAAAGGGCGGAAAATCATTAGGGAATATATGGGCTTTGACATTACCGTAGTATAATGGTCACATTTGATAGCAATTACCTGGTCAAAAGGCTCTGGCTGTAACCGCTACTTTGTCACTTGACGGTAAAATCACATGGACGGAGAATTTATGTCACGTTCTTATTGATGTGAAGTTATTTTGAGTGTGAATATAATAATATACTCGATGTGACATTAGTTCTTTTGTGAGTTAAATTCAATCAAAAATTTATCATCCCTGACGAACTATTGTGGAGGATGAGTAAAGTTTGTTTTGTCTTATATGATTTGTTTTAACCTGAGTGTTAAATTTGTACTTAGTTTGAATGTTGGTTTGAAACTAACTCATTCGATTGAGATTTTTAGTCAACACGGCCATTATCGGAGATTTGAACATTTAATTTTTGTTTAGTTGAAGTTCGTTTGTTAGTTCAAGTTTTTTTGGATATAAACCTTGGACATTAGTCCTAATAAGGAGGATCCAACTATGTTATTTGGACTTGCAAATTCTTATCTTATGATTTGGAGATTGATTTCACAATTACTAGACCCGTTAACTCTAGATCTAGGTATTGGACTGGCGACCGGATGGGCTCGCCATAAGCTCACTTATAATGGATGAACTTGGCTATAAAAAAATTAAAATTATGTGGGCTCGGCCTGACGCGAGCCTGCTTTGACGCAAATCCCGAATGAGCTCGACCCGTGTCAAGCCCTACCCGCCTATCTGCCCTGTCTCATAAATGTTTTTCACGATTACAAGCTTTTGAGGTGATTAATTTCTTCATCATTTCTCTTCTTTATCTAGTGATAAATTTTGATTTTTATGTTAATACCAACCAAATCTTTCATATCACACAAAAATTATCACTTTTATTTTTTTTTTTCGCTGTTTTTTACTCCACTCCTTTGTATTTACATATCGAGATGTTCTTAGTTCGAAGTCTTATGTGTTTCATGTGTATACATTTGTTAACAAATTCACTTAAGCATATTAAAAAAATTCTTACATATAAAAATCAATTTAAAACACTTGTTGCATATTCTTTAATGTTTCAAATGTTCATATTACATATTTTTTTTAATATTTAAATCATTAACATGATTCGAAAAAATATGTTAAATATTTTATTATTTATTTATTTCATGGTATAAAAAAATCACTTTTCTTTTATAGCCCATAGCGGCCCACAAAAAGGCTCGACCCATTTAGTGGGTGGGCCTGATATAAAATTATAAAGAGAATGCGGGCGAGAATCTGGGCTTAAGCTTGGCCCGGGCCTGCTTTGACTAGTCAAAGCCCAAATAAGCCCAACCCACCCATGCCAAACCCGACCCAACCGCTGGGTTTAGTCAACTCCAGTTCTTGTGAGGAGGAGGATCAGACTAGTTTGGTGAAACTTACAATACTGTCATATAGACAATGTGGCCCGATTGATTGTTCTTCAAAATATAAACTATTTGATTGCAAGTTTGGTCTTTAACCTGCGCAGCATTTCTAAGTTATTCGTTATAGAATTTAGAATTTTAGCTGAAGCCTATGCAAGTATGAAATATTTGCATAGCTCAAAAGGTTTTATTAGTTTTAGGATTTGCACCATCTTTTAAACTATGATTTTGATATGAAATTTACTTAAAAAAAATACATGCAAAATTTTGAAATTGTGCATAGTTGACTTATTTCCTTAAATATCTTAAAATCATTTATAACTCCATATCATCCAACTTATTAATCATATGAGTCTTAGAAATACTCATTTTGATTTCAAAATATTATATTTAGCTTAAGAAAATGTTCTGAAGCTTGTATAAATTGGAGGTCATTCAGAACTTAAAATATTTACAATATTATGATTTTGAATCACACAGAATTCTATTTTGGGCTTTAAAAAGAATCACCTTCTGTTTGTTAGCATGTTATATTATGAATTCGGCGACATAATATAATGTTTTGAAAATTACCCTATTGTCCCATTTTTATACCTGTGGAAGTGAAATCAGCGATGACAGCGAAATGAATGAATCGGCGATTGACGATGAGACAAAACAAAATCAAGCAGGGCTTAGAAGGCTCGCCGGCTGAACCGGTTGGCAGGACCAGCAGAACCGGTCCAGAAATTGCATGTCTAGCTCCCACTGGTTCGAGGGGCAATTAGAAAGGGCGACACTGTCGCCAGCCCCTTCTCCCTTTCTTTTTTTTTTTGTTTCCCACCTGTTTGAAGTACTTTTATTTGTTGTTTGAGAGAATTAGGGTTAGGTTATGTTTGTTATTGTTTTCAAATTTTATGTGGAGTCTCCTCTTTCCTTGCTAGAGTTGTATCCGACGACGGGTGGTATTTCGTTGTATCCTGCTCTGAGGTGGTGTTATATCCTATCCGATCTTCCTCCCTACCACTTCTCCTTCACCCCCCTTTAGCCGCCCGCCACCCCCTTCTCCTCCCAGCTGTCCTGCTGTACTCTTTTATCGCCGCAGCCTTGCTGTCTAGCCTACCTTTCAGCACGCTGCCATCTCTTCCTCTGCTGCAACTATTGCTGTCCAGACCTCAAGGCCTTCAACTAGCACCCAACGAACCTTTCCCTGCAGTCCTACTTGCTGTCCACCTCTCCCAAAGCCCACCATCAGCCTTTTATCCCTTTCCCCTCATACCCAGCCACCAGTCCCCTTCGCCCTCACCTTACCCCTACCACTACTACTTTTCAACCACCTCGCCGACGTCACCACCCTCTTCGGACCCTAGCCGGGAACTGTTGTTGTTGCATCTTTTTTCAATTTTGAGTCGTGTTCTGTAACCCCTACTTCAGCTGATTAATGAATTTGTTTCCATTTCTGCTGGTTTTGAATTAGTTGCGGCATCAGAAAATAAAATACAGATCTTTTCTTTTTTTATTTTTTATCTTTTATACAAAATAACAACTTTTGTTTGTTCAACAGGCTATATTAATGATGGATCTCCATAATATTCGTTCACTACAAATGATACCTACTGTATGAGACAAAACAAAATAAAATAAACCGGTAAAATTAATAGCGTACACTACAAAATGCCAACAAAAGATCAAATGAGACCAACTGTATGAACCGAATATTATTCTTGTATAACAATGTTGAATTCAGTTAATTCATTTTTTTTGTCCAACATGTGGGTCATATTTGTGTCTGAAAATGGATATTAAGGTATTCTAATTCTTTTATCTTTTGAGCTGCTGTTCACTTGATATTTTCCCTTTTTAATAGGTAGTGCTATGGAACATGGATACCCTGCAAACGGAGACCACTTCAGAAGAACACACACTTATTATCACTGATGTTCGCTTCAGACCTGGCTTACTGCAATTGGCGACATCTTCTTTTGATAGAACTGTGCGGCTGTGGAATGCAGCAGATGTAATTATCTATTCTATTAATCTCCAAAATTTATGTCCTTGATACATTTACTTGACTACTAGTAAAAGATTCTACAGCACTTATGAATTCTAGTTAGTATTACCTCTTCATTAAAGTTTTTGTTATCATTATCATCTGCAATTATATTGGATTTTTTTTTTTTTTAATTGATAATGTAAATTTGTTCTCCAAAAGAATTTCATGAATCATTGCCACCTGGCATTTTCGGATCTCTTATTTTAGGATTTCCTATTATTTTGCCTTCGTTACTTGTGTGCTAGTCATACTTATTCAAAGGGTCTTTTTTACTTTTTCACGCATAAAATATTATTAGATATTTCAGGACAGGAAATATGAGTTAACAAAATTCTTCATGTTCTAGATTTCAGAAGCATTCATGAAATTAACAGGAATTGTTACTATGGATTGAATGTATTGTTTTCCATTCCTGCCTGTTTCCATATTCATGCATGAACTTGAATATTTTTTTTCTGAACAAAAAGCTATCCCATTTAAGTACTGAATATAACCATCTACTCCATAAAGTCCAGCAGAAAAACACAGGTGACCATCTTTGTTTTACCTATTAACTTCCTTCAAGAAAAATAACATTTTGTAGTTTTTCCTTTAAATTGTTATAATTACCATATTAATTCATATAAACATCTACATGTTATGGTTAGTATCAACTAGTTGTTTCGCTGATTATCACTTTTTATTATTATTATTATTTTGTAGCCTAGCTATAGTTTGCACACATTTACTGGACACAATTATGAAGTGACATCTTTGGATTTCCATCCAAAGAAAACTGACGTTTTATGCTCTTGTGACGGCAATGGGGAGATTCGATACTGGAATGTTAACCAATATTCGTGCTCTCGTTTTTCGAAGGTCGCTTCTTTAACCATGTTGCCTATTTCCAAGCTAATGAGACTTATCTATTAATTATGGAGCTTTTTATGAACAGGGCGCAACAGCACAGGTGAGATTTCAGCCTCGTATTGGACAGTTTCTCGCTGCAGCTGCCGAAAATGTGGTGAATATTTTTGATGTCGAGACCGATAGAAAGATGCGAACATTACAAGTATGTTGTGTAATGTTTTCTAATCATTGGATTCCATTCAATTTGTTGATTTTGTTGCGATCACATAATATTTGCAGGGGCATGGTAAAGAGATACACTGTGTTTGCTGGGATACGAAGGGGGATTTCCTGGCTTCTGTTAGTCAGGATTGTGTAAAAGTGTGGTCAATGACATCAGGAGATTGTATTCATGAGCTGGGCTCCAATGGGAATAAATTTCATTCATGTGTTTTTCATCCCAGCTATCCGAACCTACTGGTTATCGGAGGATATCAGGTAAATCACATGTTTGTTTTTTTTTTTTGAATAAATTATATTTCCGCAAGCTGACATCACGGAATTGCACACTTGTATGATCTTAGCGCTATCATTGCACTACTAGCTATGTGATATGATGGAATATTTCATTCCATTGCACTTTATTTGTGAAACCTCTCGAGTAGAATGCAAATGAACTCTTAAATAGTGAGCATCTTTTGTTGTAACAGTTAGAATTTGAATCGGAAGTTCAAGATGAGTGGCCTTCTAAAAAGGCATGCCAATTAAACAAAACCGTGAGACCATTAGGCCGAAGCGAACAATATCTTAATGGGCGAGGGTTACAAATTCAGAGCATTACACAGGATTGGAATTAAGTGTCAGACAGAATAAACTGTTATGTCATGGGAGCTATCTTTTAAAACCTAGATGAGACGAAATATTGTACGGTGGAAGCCACTTTTTGAATCTATAGGGGCTACCTTTAGAGTCATATTTGCCTTGTGGATGATTCTGATTGGGGGAGATTGTGAAATGACTTAATTAGAATGAAATTGAACTCTTAAATATTGGGGTGTCTTCTGATGTAAAACTTGGATTTCAATAGAAATTCTAAAGTTAAGGATGCTCATATAAAAGTACTCCCAGGATGGATGACGTCCTGAGCTGTTACACAAATTGGAAAGAGCCGTGAGGCCATTAGATCAAAATAGACAATACCTTTGATGGGCGAGAGTTCAAGTTGTTACATTATTGCTTGTTTATCATTTATATATATTTTTTTATTTTTTAACTCATGCACACAATCCAATGTGCTCGACCTTGAACTCAGGATTTTGTGGTTGGAGATAAAGCACCTTTGACCCTACTACTAGGCCAACTGGGCTGCACAAAGGATTGATATTATCTTTATGGTTCTCTTTTTTATTTAAACTTTAACTGGGTGGTAGGCCTTGACTTTCAAACTTTATGGTTTGAAATAAATCTCCCAACCACTAGGCAAGTGGGGCGCACAGTTTTTTTTTTCTTAATATCATTTTTATGTTTCTATAATATATATATATTTTTATATGTTTGATTGTAGAGTTTTTTGTGTCTAAGTTTGAACTCAACATACAACTCACCTCTAATTTCTTGAATAACTTGGATTCAACTGAACTCTTGCTTCCTGTTCCAAATGAAGAATTTGCAGACTAAAACGCCATTTCTGATTTATTTCCCTTCTTTTTTTTTTACATTTTCAGTCCTTGGAATTATGGGATATGATTGAGAAACAGACCATGACAGTCCCGGCTCATGATGGCATCATCCCTGCATTAGCTCAGTCACCCTTAACTGGAATGGTTGCCTCAGCTAGCCATGATAAATCTGTTAAATTATGGAAATAAGATGAATCTCTCTCACCAGCAGAGTCATTCAGATAAAAGATTTGACATAAGCAATAATAATGATCGTGATCATTTTTTCTTTCCTCTTAAACTTTGGGTTGGTTGGTCTCCAGAGAAGGAATAAAGTTTGGAAAATAGAGAAATGAGTTTGTTGGTGGCACTGAACAAGCAGCTTTTGGTTCTTCCTGATATTGTACGCTGTGCAAGGATGATGTCAAGTCAATGCTTAGCTTGTAGTTATCAGAAACAAAGGCTCAAGGCTTTTTCTTTTTTGTCCTCTGAAACCCCAACCCCTTTTTATTTCATAAAATATTTGTATATGTAAGAAGTTATTATGAGAATTAATTTGAACTTGATGGGACTTTTTAGTGAGATAAAGTATGGATTTAGTGCTTTGGATAATTTAATAAAATCTAGTTTTAGGAATCATAAAAAGGCTTTTTATTGGTTTGACATAAACTGTTGCAGGTTGATTGTGAATGAAAGTATAGATCATCTGCTTTTATTTGTGTTTTTCTGAGCTCTAAATTAAATCACTTTTACTTGTGTTTTTCTGAGTTTGTTGGATGTTAATCCATAAGAGCTTATTAAAATTGCACATTGTTTGGTTAAGTTATATAATATTCAGTGGAGATCTCATATGATTGTATGCATGGATTGTTCTCCACTACCAAATATTGAGATAAAGAATGAAATCAAAAGACTGGTATTTTTATATCAAGAGTAGAAAATAAATGGGATAAATTTACATGGAACATGTATTTGTGTCTTCTACAAACATTATGTTTTGATTACAAGACTTTCCTAATAAGAGAAAATTGACAAGAAATCTACAAAAGAGTTCAGCCTATGTTGTAGACCAAGTTACAACATCACATTGGACCAATCACAAAATTGAATAAATAGTCTTGAGAAAGATGAGAAAATTGAATTCTTAGGGCATTATCAAGCTTCTTAATTTTTTATAATTGAGCTTTGAATGTAAATGTGTATGAATAATTATTGGAATGTCTAAACTTATATTTTGAAGAATGATGTTGAATTCTTTATAAACATGATGTTTAATCTCCATTAATTAGTCTTACATTTTAATTATTATTTTTTTTAACAAGTGAAGCTTATTTAATAATTATGTAAATTGTATTTAGTAAGTTAATGGTGTTTTAAATGCAAAATCATATATCATAAATGCAAATATTTTTAATTATGCAAGAGATTGAATATTAAAAATCAGAATTTATGTATAATATGTGTGCCATTTACCAATTAAAAATTTTCAAAAAAACAAAAAATCAATGCCTATGTTTATGTCTCAATAAGATTGAATCATACTCTAATTGATAGAGATATTTGCCTCTTAGTAGTCATGCTTATAATTGGTGCTTTCCATTAGCATTCTCAATGTCTTTCACATCTCTAACTGGACATGTGTCCGAAGGAATTTGTGGATGGTGTTGTAAAAGTGGAGATTACATTATATATTGTTCAACATAATTATTCATCAAAGCTGAAGAAGCATGTGTTATCCCTAAAAGGGCTAATGGAAAAAAGCTTAATAGAGTGTATGGCTCTGTAAGGTAAGCTGATTTTGAACCACTCTAGAATGAATCAAAAGATGGTCACCAATTGTAAGGAGGTGCATTGTTAAACATTATGTGAATGCATTGTTCGTCGATATAAAGAAGGGCAAGAATTTACATAAGTCTAGTACTTCAACCCCGAAGGGACCGATCAATATATTGTTATCTTGTCCAACTTTTTTTATATCCATCATCTATAATGTAGATATACCAATGAATATGACTGCGTAGCTCCTCATTTCTATTTATTACATGTTACATAGGCATGTCCTCCCCTCCATACAAAAAGGTTGTGATGCATCTTAACTCTATAAAATATAAAGTACAAAAATTGTAACAAATAAACATTTGTAGAAAAAGTTGATAATAAAATGTGTTGTTGTGAATTAGATACATATCAACATTTTCACCTAAAGTCAAAAATATGAGTGGAAGATTTCTCAATAGACTTATGAAGGTAACGCATGGTTTGTTGGAGGTATATGTAAGCACCGAAGTGGCGAAAGTAGACATTTCAACCTGATAACAAGTATTTGAACTTCAAAAAGATGGTACAAGAAATTGGGATAACTTCAGATCTTAAACTTATGTGGAAGTATTATTAATTTGAGTTTAGTAGTGATCTGAAATTTTCAAAAATTTTTAAAATTTATGTACAATTAAATCCTTAGTTGGCCTAATGAAGTATATTAGGATTATGAATTTAATGAGTAAAATAAAGCACAAGAAACATTAAAAAGCACTTGAACATGAAAAATAAATGTCTAGAGAATAATTGTAGAGTTTTTCATAATTTTTAAAGGGTTTAATGTCACTCAAAGTCTAAGATAACAAGACTAGATTTGTCTCAACCTTAAGTAGAAAAATATTTTCGGTGCTCAGAAATGATCGTATAGTAATAAATTTAAAAAAAAAAAACACTTACAATGAATATGATCGTATAGTAATAAATTTAATTTAAAAAAAAAAAAACACTTACAATGAATCTACTCATTGAAATAACATATGGTGGAGATTAATCACCAAAGAAGGATCCTTTTATGACATTTGGCCATCAATCCTTCTCCTTGAGTTTCACACTCAAAATTCAAATAAACTTAAATATCGATGTTAATAACCACTTCATTCTAGAATTTAAATTTTTAAAAAAACTTTTACAATAACAGAAATTCAAATTAGAAAAGATGAGGGAAGAAGAAGGGGGCCACCCCTTAGAATAACTACTCTAACTAATCCCTCTCTCTTGCTTAGTCCAACCATATAACACTCTATTAAGTCACTCACATGATTTAATACCTTAAAACCATCATAGCATGTCTCATGAACACATAATAGTATATAAAAGATACTTAAAATGCATAAATCTCAATAATAGTTTCACATATAAAAAACAAGAACACTAGAGTTCCTTTTTTTCCCATTTTCACATAGTCATGGGACTTCGATCAAACTCTTTATTCTTAGTTTGAGATCTAATGGTTGGCCATTTTCTCTTTGCTTTGACATCTTGTGCTACATCAATTAATTTAATTATAATAGTTACAATTATTATTAATGCTACCTAAATTGAATGTTAAAAGATATGTTTATTTGGAATTATAGTAAACCATCCATCTCATCTATGTAGATCTTTGGAATGCTAAGTTATGTCTCCCTAACTTGATTCTCATTCCACCTACAAAAATGAGGATTATAACTTTATTAAAGTACCTATATCAAAAGCTCTTTCCCTCTATCTTTCTAGAGCAAGGGACATGTAGTGTGGGCATTTAACATGTTAGTGCTCCCAAATATAAACATATAAAAATGTAATGACCTGTAATGTATAAATAATTTATATTTGATGTTCAACTTTAAATTTTTATATAAATATGTCAACAAGACTTAGAGAATTAAGCCAAGTCCTCCACAAGCATCCGCTATTGTTAGGTCATCTTACTATCATAAATGTTAAATAAGAGGAAAGTGTCACAACTCAACTCGATGTAACCCGCCATCTCGAGATGGGTCATCTCATATCATGGAAGGGAAATTAAAGAATCACCCAAAATTTATTTGGAAGAGATTATTTACTTTTTTTTTTTTCAATTATCACAAACACAAAGTTATTTATATCATTAAAATATTATAAGATAGAAATACTCAAACTTCATTCAAATCATATCACAAACTATATAGTAAAAAAAACATACAAAATAAATATAGAAACCTCTGTTAAGCAACAGTATATATATCTCATCATGATTATAAAAAACATAGATAAAAGATAGTAATATATCTATTTTAACAATAGATATATTTTATTGAATAGCTTACTTTATGATAATTGCTATATATGGATTTTAAGAATTGAATAGCATACTTTATTCAACATGCCCAATAGACAAAATTAGATATAAGAGCTCCAAAAACCATTCTCTCTCTCTCCCTTTCTCTCTCTAAATGAAAAGGCCGTGTAATGTAATGGGTGGGTTTGGATATTTATATAATATTATATATTTATGATTATTTAATTAAATGATAGATGATAATTATGATAATTGCTATATATTTAATTCTAAATTGCATTAACAATCTATTATATCTTTAAATATGTGAGTTAAAAATTTATAAAAATATCTAATAAATAAGAAATCACGTTTACACTCTGTGTAAAATAGTTCGTGAAACAAACACTAGATGGTTACAAAAAAATCCAATTTTGCAAGAAAATGTCAATTTATTAAGAAAGAGAAATCCTATAAAAAAGACTTTTACTTTTCTACTTATGATTCTCATAAGAATAGGCAAAAATATGTTTTAAGATAAAATCAAGGGTGCTCTATGATATGATAAAGATGGTTTGTTGATTCACAATATGGTGACACTCAAATTAATCACAAAAACACACATATTGATAAAGTAATATTCAGATTATGAGTCAGAGTTATAGATCCCATGAACTTTTTTTTTTCAAAATAATTTAATTACTAATAATCCTAAATTTTGTTCAAAAGATTTTTTATTTTGAGTTCTTACATCATAACTTAAAGTGAAATACTAAAACAATGTGAATAAGTTTTTCTGTTGTTTTGAAAATATCCTTTGAATTGATTTCTATAAAACCTAATTTTATCCATGTGATTCTTCCACTACAGTCAACAATTAGGATCTAATACTTCTTATTCTCTTTCCAAATATAACAAATATTGGGGTTCTATATTATGGTTAAGTTTCCTTAACCTTATAAGAACTTCTAGGTATCCATATTTTTAACAATAATTGTAAATATTTAATCTATGTATTTTTAGTACACTAAACACTTGTATTTTAACCTGATTATGCTTCTATTTTTTTTAATTAGTTCTAGATTATAATGGTTTTTAGCAATGTAAGTGTCCAATTTGAATGTAAATTAAACGTGAAAGGTTAAAATATCAACAAATGCATTCAATGGTTCAAGAATTTAGTGAAGACTTCCCTAGATTTTAAGGAATACTAATCTCAAGAAGAGAAAAATTTAAGTGCTAAACATTATTAGAATCATAAAAATGAATTGCATTAAACTCCAAACCAAGTATTACAAAATAAAGGAAATAGAAAAATAAGAATATCTGGCTCCCAATAATAGATTGCCCTCCTTGATCTTCTTTATTGGTTGATACACCAGCACTTACCCTCCACACAATATATGAGAAAATCTTTACTCTAGAACACTACATTACTCAGTAGCACACCCTGATTGTTCATCACACAAAGCATTTTATATTAAAATTGATGAAGTTGTTGTCAAACCACAAAAACTAGCTCATGTTGTTGGAATGTGTTGGGGCATTGACATCAAGCACGACGCCAATGGGA